GTATTCATGGGTGACAAACATCATTGCGGATCACCTGCACACACCTTCAAGTGCCCAATGATTCACTCCCTTCGCAGGAGGTGAAATGAGGCAGCATGAGCCAAAGTTGTCATCAATAGAGGAGGAGGTCGCCATCGAAACTTTGAGAAGGCACGTGCAGAAACAGGAACATGACTATATGACTATATATATATAATTTGTCTCGAACTGCTTACAAGTACTCTATTGCTCTCGCAGAGGCCAGGAGGTAGATTGTGATGGTTCTGGCCCAAGAAGAACCCTGTGATAACTTTGGAAGCGAGTGTGCCCTATGTGGGTTGCGTGGGCTGAAGTGTGATGCCTCCACAATGCATCTATGTTTGGCCCCAAACTAAAGATTTGAATGTCGGCTACTGATGGATGATGTCAGTGTATTTGCATTTATTTACAGAGCGGCTTCGCACTGTCTACTGTCCAGGTGGTCGATCGTTTTGGTTTCCGTGGTTCTTCAGCCAGAATGTCAAAGTATATGTATATAAAGGAATATTCTCTTTTGGCAGAAGAGTCCGAAAAGCATGAGTTCTTTGCTTTCACGTGAACCGTCACTTCAATCAAGTCAAAGCGCTCTCAGATGTGAACAACAGGGGTGATTGGAGAACAAGAAAGAACTGAGTGGGTTCAGAGAAGAGTCCCGGATATTCCGTTGCTTCACCACATTTCATGTTTTGCTTTGTCAGCACCCTTCTGTTGTGTTGTTCTTCTCTTCTTCAGCAGGCACCAGGATGAGATCTGTAAGGACTGCGAGTCTTTGCTTTTCGCGCCCGTTTTGAACTCCAAAGGCAGGAAGGCTGAATGATTTGCTTCATAGTTGATGCGTATCAAATCTAGCTGAAGTATAGTAGGTTGGAGGCGATCGCTATTCGTTCTGGCTTGTCTTTTCTTTTCTTTTTTTTTCATATTTTGCGGCACTCTTCCACCACAAAACCTGTGAAGGCCTACAGGTGGACGCGAAAGGCGAAGAGGCTGGGATCCAAGCGGCCGAACGACCATCGTCGGAAAGGCGATGAGTCCCGACCGAGGGTCCTTTGCAATTCGTGCACGACCTTCAGGGAGTCACGATCTCTCTGAAGATGAGACGACCTTTGCTAGTAGCTTCTTGCTACTAGTAGCGATGCCAGGAGCCCCTAGAAGGGTCCTTGCTCCAGTAGTAAGGCCAGGAGCCCCTAGTAGCTTATTGTTTGCTAATTGCTTCAGTGGTATTCTGCCATAATTATATAGTACTAGAATTACTAGAAGAGGGAACTGTACGAAGACTCTTTGTCGTGTTTTGTCAGCGTCCAGAACCTCTCGGTGTCGTGTTCCAAACAGTAGTGATCGTGGGAGACCACAGACGCCACTTCTCGGACTCTTAAATTGAATACCGCTCAGAATGTAACATGTCGGTTCAGCTGCATGACTATGGAACTATATCATTGCCATGTTTGCTTGCTGGTTGTTTTTTGCTTTAAGAGCGCAAGCTTTACGCTGTTTTGGCACACTTTGCAGACATCAACACACTCATCCCACTGGGGCTTGCGTTTGTCTACAAGTAGGTCTATGTTTGCATCATTCACGGTACTTTTTGTTTGACTGCATTTGCCTCGCAGGAACCTGAACGGGTCCTTGAAATCCGTGCACCTTGGCGACATATTGAAAGCAGAGCCTTTGCTTTTGCCTGTGCGAAAAGAAACATATATACATATATTTTTTCAAAGGGACCCAAGACTGTTACGTCAGTGAAATCCCGAGCGCCGAGGCGCGTTATTGCTGTGAGCCTCCTCCAGAGCATTCTGCGACAGCAGCACCAAGCACCCAAGCCAGTCAAGTGCAGACCATGCATGACAATGCAAATCAGTGTTCTTTTTGAGTCGTCCAATTGAAACTGCTAACTTGCCTTACTAATTACTAGGAACAAGAAGCTACTAGGGGCTCCTGGCATCGCTACTAGGAGCACGGATGCTACTAGGGGCTCCTGGCCTTACTAGCAACAAGAGGACGCTACTAGGTTGCCTCTCCCAGGCGTTGCACGGCGTCGCCGGCCCCGGTCAGCACCACGGACACCACGTCCCAACGAGCCGAATGACGCTTTGGAATACAGGCCAAGTGAATACCGCATGGTTCGGGTGCAGAGCGCAGTTGAACACAGCGAGTGTGACTGATTGATGTTGATCGATTGATCGATTGCAAGGCGGCTATGCCTGGCCAATATCTACTCTATATGCAGATATATTGTACACTCTCATGTATTGGATCATTGTAGATCAATGAGGAAGGGCATCCTCTTTGAGGTCACAATGGAGGGCCACAGCTTTGTGTGGTTTCGGATAGGCTGTGTGGAATTCAGGAGGTCTATCTTGCACCTTCATGGTTCACATGATGTCCTTTGTGAGGGAGATATGTGTTCCACCGCTGGAAACTCTTGCCCAGTGTTGAGCCACAATCATTTGATCGAATTTGATCCAAAGGTCACCATCAAATATCACGCCTGGACGCTCGGCAGGCTCCAGCGATCACCATATCAGGATGCAAGCGGCTTGCAGGATCTCTTCACGGAAAATGACCTCAGCGAAACATCAAGGAGATCCAACGAGAAGAGGGTTGAAGCTCATGGAATAGGTCATTTTGGGTACGGGGTTGAGTTGTCCATTGCAGATGTGTTATAGCGCATCAGCACGCACAACCCAAGCAAGTAGCACAACCGGCTCTTGCGACTATGTGTTTGCTTCAGATTGATTGCAACAGTGTTTTTTTGCAAAGCAGACACCACAGCATCAGGAGAACACCTTCTTTCTTCGAGCCAAAGCTGCCGAAGGCCTGCAAAAATGGTGAGCAACTGCAATTTCCCTGAAGAACATTGAAGAACTTCAAGCAAGAAGCTATAAATACAGAATTTCTTTATATGTAGACATACATGCTACGGTAAATGCACCGGCCCATCAGATGCTTGGCCCCCTTGGCTACTCCGACTTCTAACGTTATGCCACGCCCTTTGCAGGGTGTGGCGAGCCAAAGAAAGCTCCACCACATGATGGATGTGCTGAGGCTGAATGATGGAGTTGTGACGACTGGGGCTCGATCATGCTTGTGGCTCAATTAGCGTGTGATGGGTGATAGGGATTGATAGCGTGTTTTAGTTGAAACTGAGTGGTCATTGTCATTTACGGTATATAACTAGATGAGAGACAGTGAAGTTGCATCCCAAACTATAAAGAGGGGTGGAATAAAATGTGTTCCTGAAACTATTCCCAACCCTGAATAATTTGTTGGGGTCGGAATAGTGGAAGCTTTTTTACCCAGGGTGTTCTTTTACTGTAACAACCAGGTTTGTTTATTGATTTATTCCACCACCAGATCCATCACCAACACCGAAGCATTCACCTAAAACCATCAGCTATTGCTTCCCTTGAAGATCCTTGTTTAACCTCTTCTGATGTTTTACTTGATTCCTGAAACTCTGACCTGAAAACCTTGTTTCAAAGCCATCAGTTAAAAGATGCTATTCGAAATCATTGCTCCAAATAATTTTCAAGGGTGTAGTACACAAGCCCAGGGAAGTGAATTATGTAAATTGTTGAGGGGGTGGGAGTAATGCGGACTCGGAGCCCGGGGAAAATATCTTGGCTTCATTTTCTGTTGTTTTGCTATTGCTGCCCTTTAAGGTCCTTGCTTAATCTATATAAACTTAATTTTCTACGGTTGAACTGCTAGGTGAGCGCACGAAAGTGACTGAGCACCCAAAATCCTGGGTAGTTAACACTACTGCTACTGCTACTGCTACTCCTACTCCTACTACTACTACTACACTCCTACTCCTACTCCTACTATCACTACTACTCCTGCTGCTGCTACTGCTACTACTACTACTTCTACTTCTACAGTACTTCTACTTCTACTTCTACTAGTAGTAGCTACTCCTACTACAACCACAACAACAACAACTACTACGATGACGACGACTGCGACTGCGACTGGGAAAATGACTATGACTCTATGACGACTATAATGTTTATGAACTATGACTACCACATGTTGGATAATATACTTTTGGTGAGGTTGCCTCTATTCATGCTCCCTCAGTGGAATGCTAGAGAGGGGAGGGTTACAGTCCAAGATCCAACATTATAGATGCTTGAATGCATCCAACGGAATCCACTCAATGATCTCTTGCAGGGAAGACGATCGCCGGCGGATGGAGGAGATGACAAACCGAATCCATGCCTCTCGGCCAGACAATCTGTTCGAATCCACCCAAGCCTTGCAGCGGGTTCTGCAACGAAGCTTCGTGGTTGATGGCCAGACTGTGACAGACCTCATCTCAGATCAAGATTTGTCTCAAAACCCATCGTCGTTCACTCCACACTATGACCTGCACCTCCATCCCCATTGACTGAGATGCCTTGGTTGCTGAACAGATGCTTTGGGTAGACTTGTTTGGACAATCCTTGTTTCATGCTGCTAGCTTGGACATTTCGTAGCAGTATACAAAAACAGCCAAACCTTACAACGTCCTTGAGCGCTCTTGAGCCTCATGTCTGCTTTCCTCGGTTTGATTCGCCGTACTGGGGATGATCTGCGTTTGGCGCTCCTGACGCGGCGGTTGCGCTGGAATCCCAACGACCTCCAGAGCCACGTGGCAGTCGCGGCCCTCCACTGCCGTGCAAGTGCCGACCGACGGCGACTGGAGGAGGCAGAATGGCACTTGGAGAAAGTGCTTCAAAATTCGGAGGCCAGGCCAGGGGTGATGACGAATGAGTCATCAGGGAACTATGAGTGACCTGGCAGGGGTGAGACTGAAACAAAGGGATCAAGACTGATCAAGACATGTTCCCCGATTCGTGACAGATGGAAGGCAGTCTTGGACTTTTATGACACTGGCTTGTGAAATTGGGATGACTGCAGATGTTGGACAAGCAAAGGGTTGTTGCAGCTTTATCATTCGTTTCACTCTGGAGGATCCCCAGTACTTGCACCACGTTTTGACGATGGCTGTGGGGCCAAAGCTTTTTTACAGCCTTCCAGAGCTTTCTGCTCGGTTCATGAGAAAGATTGCTTTGCACCAAGAGTGCATGGACATTCGGCTCAATCACCAGCCTTTTTTGAATGTGAATGTTTTCCCGTGTCTTGCTAGCCAGCTTGTACATCAGAGAGTTTAAACAAGTGCATGTTGCTTGCAAAGATATGTTACATCTAATAGGTTCGGAGCAGGGTAATGAGTGTTCTCATCAGTGTTCGTGCCGCTGGAAAGTGAGGACGAGTTTGCCAGCCGGAGCGAATTTGAAGAACGTGCAACACCATATCACTTTGCAAATGCGCTGGCAATTCTTAAAGCCAGCGGCAAAAGAGAAGCAGCCAAAGAGCTGTTTGAGGACTGCACCGTTCCAGTATGACTGATGCAAAAAATCATGCATATGTCATATGTCCCATATGACATGCTTGATTCAGGAACTGCTCCAACATGATTTTGACTCCAGGTTCCGCAGTTGTTGGGAACTAGAGTTGCTTTGTTCATAAGTTGAGGTTGGTTATTGAGTTATGAGTCATTCGGTCATATGAGTTGTATTTACCTTCATCCATGGTCGCCATTCCCACACCCATCGAGTCACCCAGATGTTGGATGTTCCACAGGAGGCAACCGACCTCAAGTGGAATGGCAAGCCTGCCATATCGTGGCACCGCAATCGCATTGGGAAAGTGAGGATCGAAGAATCATATTGTAGGTCTTAAACAAGTGATTCTGCTTGGTTTTCATGGCAATGCTTGTGGGGATCTGTTCCATCAGGCAACCCAGCACTGCCAAAGCCGAGGAACTTGACGGTAAGGCGAAGACCAGTCGACGTAGGGTAAATCATGGTAAATCATAAATCTGATGCCGGTGCTGGGATTCATGCAGGCGGGCAGGTGGCCGGCTGTTGACTTTGCCGCGCGTTTTGTGGACAGCATCTTCGCAAGATTTGAGGCATTGCTTGGAGCAGACCCCAGCGGTGCACATCCAGGGCTTGGAGCACCAAGCCTTTTGGGATGAGCCGCCACCTTTGGCCAAGCTCCTGGAGGACAACTACGAAGACGTAAGGCACCGAGCTAGGAGAAGATGGCAAGCCAAGAACTGAATGAAAGTGTGTCAAGCTAAAGGCAAGAAGGTTGATAAAATTGTGGAAAGCAAAGATAGAGAAAACTGCGGAGAACAGTTCGATGAACAAAGATGACAAGATGCCAGCTCTTGTCATTACCACAGGAAAGATCTTCAAGAGATGCAAGACTCCTGGGGGTCTTCTGTTCCTGCCTATCCGATGCTTGGCACAGAACACAAAAGTCCAAACATTCGGCTGGAGAAGGCATATACTGTATATATCATGTGCGTTACTTTCACGCACGTGGACCATTATAAGCCGTTGTTTCAAAGTCCTTGTAATTACAAGGCAGCGTCATCCATAACCCAATCGCAACCAGCATCCCGCAATATCATCTTCTTCGAAGCAAGGCTTGATGGAGACCTCCCAGTCTGTGTGTCACCGAACTGTCCAGACACTAGACATCACTAGCCTCAAAGAGCCATGAGGAAAAAAGAATAAAGATACGCCTTCTGAGGTTGTATTCATTGTAGAGAAATATTTCTGACACACCAGCGAGGTACTTAGGATTTTAGATTCAACATGATTCACCCTTCAAGTCCTTCGCTGAAAACACACCCGGCGTTTCTCATGTAGCAGTTGTCCTATCTACCTTGACTGTGCCAACAGCTTCCTCTTCTAACAGTTGGTCTTGCTCAGGAATCTGGTGGAGACATCTCAAGGCGCTTGGGATATGATTCAACTCTACAGCTCACGGACATGGCATCTCGTTCGCACTGGAAGGTTTGCAGGCAAAGGAAAGGGTTGCCTGCAAAGGGGTTTGCATCCATGTTGGCAAGAATCTTCCAAGGAATGCAGATGCTTGTGAGTTGATGCCTCGCACGAGCCGGTTTCTGCAGAAGCATTTGCCAACGGCAGACGTGCCGTACATTCACTACAATACTGAGGACGGGGAGTGTACAATGTGCGCAAAATTGAGTGAGCCATTGCATTTTGCACCAACATGCACATGCTCAATGGTCAATCCGGCGTTCGCAGGAGGTGGTGTTGTTTCTTCTTACTCCAGGTAGCAAGGTGCGCTTGCACAATGGTGGCAGCAATGCGCCCATCAACCTGTCCCTGGGTTTGACTGGAAGCGCTGGTGCCTTTCTTGAGGTTGCTGGTGAGGTTGGGCATTTGGATGAGACGTCCTTTTGATTGACTTGCCAACAACAACAGCAGCAACATCGTCCGTCATCATCGTCATCGTCATCGTCATCGTCATCATGATCATCATCAGTGGAGCAGACACATTTGTGAGTGTCCTGCAGAAATCCTCGATCTCAGAACAACTCAGAACATTGCCATTATTTCGATGTCAGCTTCACCAAAAATGCCGGATACAAACAGACCGACATGACACAAACATGCACTGTTTTTACACAAACAGTGTCCTTGTACAAGCATAACTACTTTGACATTATTTGGACACCATGGGAGGATTGGGAGGCATGTCCGTTCAGAATAAATTGACCCTGGCACCGTAAGAAGCGGCTGAGCTAAAACATCAGCTACATATGAAAGAAAGCGCTGTATTTGTGTCCTTTTGGCGGAGAGGTGCGTCCCTTCCGAGATGGCCGTGTTGTCGCCTTCGATGATGGATCGGATCATCGAGTCTGGCATGATGGGCCTGAGGAGATCCAGTTTGGTTGCAGTTCGAAACCAAGATGAACCGTTTGCCGTGGGCAAAATTGGGCCAATCTTGGAGTCCTTTTGAGAAGGATGTTGGGTATTGCAATGGGAAGTGAGGTGAAAATCAAAACGGACCACAATTACTTCAAGACCAGGGGCTGCTATGAGGACCTCATCTCCACCTGATCATATGTTTGCAGTTGTCTGGCTCGAGCCTCCAACACCTGTCAAGACTTGTCAAGTGGCTGGTTCACAACTTCGACAATCCCTGTTTGTTCTTCAAGGTGCTTCCGTTTCGCTCCCCTTGTAGGAATTTCATGTGAGTTGGACTTCCTCGCAGCTGTCACCGTCGCTACCAGGACCGCTGGGTGTTGGTTTGCCGCATGATGCACCCGCAGCTGGCCCAGGCGCCCGGCCGCTTCTTCTGCCGTGCCTGGACGCGGCGCACCTGCTTCGAGACCTGGGACGATGCGCGGCACGCGGAGCTCGAAAAGAGTGGCAGGAGCGAGGTATTTGGTGCGGGAAAAGATCAAAAGAACACTTAGAAGTGCTTTGAGCATGTTTGGGGCCCCTTTGGGGCTAGTTGTTTGCTGAGATCCAAGTTCCACTGATCCATGCACCTGTCATCAAGATGTGCCAACTCGTGGGAGCTTCTTGGTCCCAAACACAGACAAGGGTCGTCCTTCTTCCACCGGGTTCCCAAACTGGAAGGACTATGGCTATCAAGAACTCTCCAAATCGTTGAAGCCTCGCGAGTTTGGATCCACGGCTTCGCTTTCGATTCCTCACCTGGCCACATCAGGTCTGCCGTGCTCGAGCTGCATTGGCAAAGGCGCAGCTAGCTGCGCCCAGTGCTGCGGCAAGCCAGGCGATGGGTCAGGGCCAGTGGAACAGGAGTTGCAAACACATGGCACAATGGCGGTTTTGCGAGGTCATGATAAGTTTGTGTGTGTGTGTACTAGTAGTAGTGGTGGTGGTGGTGGTGGTAGTAGGCTTTGGGTGTAGAACTTGTTTGTGTTGCACCTTGCTGAGAACCCACAGATTGTATAGGTGTCCATCTTAGAAACGGTTGGAGGGCAATGGGAATGTTTAATGTAGAATCTGGAAGTGCTAACTCAGAGGCGCTTTACACGCTTCACAGAATGGGCTTTGGGGCCAGACTTAGCCTAGTCGGCTTGCCACGACACAATCGAGTCAAATAGCGCCAAAGCTTTCTGGTCCGGTGATTCCAATGTTTCGAAGGACAAGAGAGATGCACATCAAGACGTTATTAGCTTCTTTGTTACTACTAGTAACAAGTGCCACGCTAGTAGTAACAGGTGCCTTACTAGTAGTAACAAAGAAGCTATTAGAATTAAAAAAACCTGACATACCGAACTTCCGAACCCGGTATGTACTGCCATGAGGCACAAAAGCTTGCCTGGATGCTGCAGGGCTGGAGTTCGGCTGAAGCAAAGCTTGAGAACAGGCTGGAAGAGCTGAAAGGATCTGAAAGGATCTCCAACCGATGCACCAGTCATTCAGCATCATTCAGCCTAACAACTAAAGTCGATGCCAACCGATCTAATTGAAAAAGTTGCCAGTGCTCTAGTAGTACCTTTGGCATGAAGTTCAGAGTTTTAGACCTTCAGCTAATTAATAGATGCTATTTTATCAGTTGAATCTATTGCACAGATACTCGATCAAGGTAGCTACACGAAGATCATCGAACAACCACAAAGTTCTCCACGCTTCGATCGGAGCCTGGAAAACTCGTCCTTTCGACTCGGCCCAGAAAACGTCCTGTTCTTCGGTCTTTCCAGGCCTCGACGCCGCAACCGCGCGGCATAATGCAGGTTAAAATGGGCTGACCTTATGCGGGGCAATGGAGGGTCCCTAAATGTGCAGAAGAAGCCGTCCAACCTATGGCATGGTGGACTGTTCTTGATGCGTCCGAAGTTGTAGAGGCAATGCATTGGAACAGGATGCAGCAGGTGCTATCTTGTGTGCGTCATCTTGCTTTTTGAGTGCCACCTCCCAAGAGACAACTACAGACCTTTGTCTTCATGTAGCAGGACAATGCATGTTAGATATATAAAAGCCACTGTTTGCTTTTCGTGTAGATTCAACTCTATATATATATAGATTATGATTCAAAAAAAAATGTGTTTGTTTGGGTGCAGGCGGGACAACCTCTCTTCAAAAAGCCACCCTTTCAATGTCCAACTCAACTCAAAGTGTGTCTTAATCACAAAACTGCTCGGTGTCGTATGAATGCTCAAGGCATTCATGAGACGTGGACCCCACACTTGTATTCCAAGCAGCATTTCTTGGGCAAGCATTTGCATAGCACAAGAGATGGACGCATGGAAAGGAACATGAAAGAGCCCAGCTTGCAAAGAGCTAGACAGACAAATGCAAGCAAAACTTATGTTGCGAGACCATGTGCTACTGCTTTTACATTGCTGAACACTCTCTTTGTTGATGACGCAGACCACACTCGGATCCTGAGTAAGAGCAGCACGATTGCTTGCTTCTCAGGCGGGCAACTTTCAACATGTTGCAGAATTGTTGGTCAACTTGGATATACGTCCCAGATTTTCCCGGCGAGTGACGTCAAACATTGTGATCATAATACGAGATTGCATGAGATGATGAAGGTTAAATCTTCAACACATGCTTTGAGGGCAAAGATGTTGAGTTCAGTTGTAGGGTCCCTGAGCACGCCAGGAATTCAGCCTGGCCTGATGTGGAGTCAAACAGTGAATAAAGAAACCATTCTTGCATAGTAGGTTCGGACCAATGAGTCGTGATTGCTCCCAACATCAAGCTCAGTCGCAATTGGGCTCTCCAGGGCTCGATCGCTGCGCGGCGAGCAGTGAGTTGTGATCTTTCCGGGTTTTCAAGGCATTTGCCAAACAAGTGGCTTCAGAATGCCAGGAGCAAGGAACAGAACATCAATCCCAAGAAACATCGCTCTGGAGCCGCTTTTTCCGCCAACAATTGCTGTCCACCGCCCCATTGCGCCTCAGCGAAACCATGGCGATCGTGATGGCACAGCCTCAAGCCCAGCTTCCGGAGCCGGCCCATCTGGGGGAGGCCCACGGCACCGAGCACACTGGCCGTAAAAGAGTCCGCAGTCATTGCTAGTGAAGTTGAAGCAGCGCAGAACCTGGCAGTCGGTGGTATGGATGTTCATGCTTTTGTCATATGTTCGGCCTTTGACTAAGAGTCAGATTGCATCTTGACGATCTACCGTGCTTTGCCAGGTGGGTCAGTGGATTCGGATTTGCGGAGAAGTCTCCACTCCAACAGCCTCCCAAGGCGATTGGAGTATTTGGCCTCACATGTCCAGCCAGGACACGGTGTAGCGTCCACAGCATGGGCCGAGACAAAACCATTTCGCCTATATTATATACATGCACTGATTACCAGCGGCAAAGGCAAACAAGCATGGTATGCTATGGGCGAAGGGTCTTGAAATCCAAATTGAGAGCTACTTTTGTCGCTTGCAAGTGTGCTGCCCTTCGTTTCATGTTTTCTTGGGGCACGTCAAGCTGCCAGCTCCAAGCATCAGATTCCTCGAAGCGTTGGGCTTGACACCAGGAGAACTGGAACAGGACCATGGGAACTCGTGCTGGACTGGTGGCCAACTTCTTGGAAGCTAAGAATATCGGAATGGATGGCTGTATGATTTGTGCTGAGCTCCCTGGCGCATGAAAACCTCAGTCGTTGTGTGGCTCCCAGACGGCGCTAGCGAGCGTCGCACGAGGAGGCCACACTAGTTGGACAAGACAACCAGCTTGTGACGCTTATAATATTCACCGTTCAACGAATATTTATCGTCCAATAATATCTTTTTTTGTATACTATGTTTCATTAACCTATATTGTATTATATTGTATTACTTTATGTGTATGAATGTATATATTATACATGTGTATAATGTATAACAGTTAATAACAGTTATATATATATTGTATAATTGGCCGCAGATTGTCAACCTACCTGTCGGTAGAGACAACATGCCTGCTGTGAATGTTTCAGGGCAAGTATTCAGGAACACCTACTGCTGTCAGTCAGACATTTGCATGCATCTTTGTTCGCTTTCACTTCTGCGAACCAGGTCATGCCAAATGCCAACGGCTTTTCTTTGTTGAGTTTTGTTTCACTGAGGTTTGGCAGGAACACTCAGAGTGGCTTCGAGGGCCACGTGGGTGGAAAATGGCATTTCAAGCATTGGAGTCGACTGTGTTGCTTGGATTTGAAGTCTGTTGTGTACTCAATGCACGTGCACGTGTGGAAGTTGATTCAAACAGCGAGGCCAAATTGTTGGATTTTGGATGATTTTGGAGTGAAAACATAAAGAGCAGTACATGCATGTTTTTAAGTGCCAGTAAGATGATCCTGTGCTTTCCAGCGACTTGATTGAGGTTGGCGTGATGAAGCCAAGGACCGGGGAACGATTGATTGGATTTAGCTGGTGTTTGTCAAAACGACCATAGAGTCATAGTCATAGTTGATCTATGTGATCATACACAAACATACTCAATGTGTTTGATTCTGTATAATGTGTTCTTTGGCTGGACAGGACATGGCTCAGTACAGAGAAAGGTGGTGGGAGAAGTGGGATGTTAGTGGAGGCCTGACCTGTAAGAGCACCTTCCTACAGCGTTGGTAAAAGGCCTCGCTGGGCTACTGCAGAGTGTGCGTATCTATGCAGGTATCATTGCTGAAGGTCGGAACATCACTAGCAAAGCTCGACCTGGTATGGCTTACATTTCCATGTTGTGTGTCCGTTGAGGGCCTTGATACCTTTCAGGCCAAAGTAGATTCAGCCAGTCTCACTTCATTTGAAAACCTCGACAGGGGCTATCCGGTTCAACCATGCAGACGGAGTCGTTGAGATGTGTTCCTCGCTTGCACAACACTGGGTGGAAGCCATCGCTACTAGAGTGGAGGCCATCGCTTGTGGGTTGGAGGCCATCGCTTGCAGGTTGGAGGCTATCACTCTTAGGATGATTTGTGCTTTTCTTTGATGTGTTGTGGCGTGGTGATGATCTGAGATGGCAAGCTTTGAACTTTCTAAATGGTGACAACCCTACACCAAAATGACCGAGTGCAGTTTTCTGTATGTATGTCGTTTAGAGACGGCTGCCACCAAGTTAGGTGATTCTGCAAGACAGCACTATTCACTAGTCTAGCGCCAGGTCCGCTAGGTCTAGTTTCCCACTCACGCACGCACTCGCTCGCTCTCACGTCCACTCGCTCACTCGCTCCGCTTTGGGGAGAAAGCATACATATACATGGGCGTGAGTTGGCCGAACTTCGAGCTAATTGGCAACTTTGCCCCATCAGTGGTGAGTTGGCTGATCTTGAAAAAATCCAAGGGGCTGCGTCAGCTGAGGTTTGAGAGCGTTTGAGATATTCTATTCAATATGTCAGTAAGCCACGGAATTGCGATTAGAAACCAACAGTCGCAATCCCCCAACTTGAATCTGACTGAGACACAGAAACATGGACCAGTCACAGTCGCATCCCGATTGCAACTGTGACGTTGAAGAAA